TATTAATCTTGTGATATTAATAAAAAGAAAAAAAATCGCAATTTACAAAATACAAATCTACAATTTCATAGATTGCAATATCTATAAAATTATATATAATATATAATATATAATATCTATAATATTAAGAAGAATAATTTGTCTAATTATCATATAATTCATTGTCATCATTTTGTATAATCATGTTATTGACTAATTATATTTTAATTTCGAAATTTAAAATAATCGCATTTAAACAAAAAAAATATATATATATAGAATAATCACGCGTATAACTTTATAAGACTGATCAGCGTTAGAATTTTTCAAACAATGTTTACCCCAAAAGCAATTGAAATGATAAAAATTGAAATATTGGATCGAATGTGTTACAATTTGAAAAGAATAGATTGTTTATACGAATTTCGTAGATTAAAAAATAGTTATAAAAAATATGATTTTTTTGCACTTGCTAAGATAACAACAAAAACCAAGAAAAGAAGAAAGAACGCACGATGTTCGTGATTCATTTTGTTATATAGGAGTATTCAGAATATAAGACACAGTTATATATTTTTTGTACTTCGTTAAGGACAGAAGTATAACGTGGAAAAAAGAGTGCGCATATTTGCACGTGTGTGTGTGCATATATTTAATTTTTTTTATACTTAATATATCGTTAAATATTATTTGCTTAAAAAAAATGGCAGAAAGTGAAATAACAAAAATAGAAATTTTTAAAATTATATTTGACATTGTTTTTATTCATTTTCCTCATTTTTCAATTTAAATTTATTTAAATTATCCTGTATATTCGACTTTTTAAATTATAAATTTAAAAACTGAAGTATAAATTTTTTAAAAACTTGTAATAAAATATTCTTATTGGATATTATATTTATATTCTTTTATCATAATCTTATGTATCTACAAATATTCAAATTTTTTTTCAATTTATTATTGATTATATGTGATATGAATTTTAATTTGTAATTTTAACAATAAATAAAAAAGTAAAAAATATCTTACCTGTATACATAAAATTATTTAATTCATTTTATAGAATTGTTTGACTCAAGTTGTTCGATATGATCTGGTAAAATTGTATACAAGATTTCTACCCTGAAATGATTTTTTATAATTTTATAATTTTTTTTCATGAAGAATTATATAAAAATTTTTAAAATAATAATTAAATTTTCATCTTAATTTTCTTTTTTTTGGTAATTTGTATATTACCTATTTGATAATGGTTGAAATTGCATTGTTTCTTTATCATATACTGTAGTTGTTTCATTTTGTTGTAAATTTTTTGATAATCGAAAAATATCTGTTATATTTTTCTGTTTACTTTTAGGATTGCTGTTAAAATTACTCTTATGATTGTTATTGTTTCTATTGTATTTCAAATTTTTTTCAAAAATATTTATTTTATTCTTTTCAATATTATTTGACTTATTTTTATTTCCTGTTGGACTATTTATGATATGTTGTTCGTGCAAAGATAAAGAATAGATATTTTTTTTTAAATAACGATTTGTTTTTTTCATTTCATGAATTATATCATGCAATTTTTTTGCTTTGAAAGATGTTATTTTTTCTTTATTGTTTGGTTTCAATTTTTCTTTGTTAATATGTTTTGATTTTATTTGATGCTGTTTCTTTTTGTCAACATAATGATTTGAAAGTTTTATAGAAGTTATTGATGGGAACAATGGAGAAATAAGTGTCTGTGGAGATGGTTTTTGAGTTAAAATTTGCGAAACATTTTTAAATATCCAAGAATCCATTGGCAAAGATTGCGGTTCAATATCAACAATCAAATGTATTGCTTTTCCAGTTATGTAATGTATCTGATAAGAATCTAATGTTGAGAACACCCACTAGAAAATAAATAAGCAGAAAGCAAACAAAATAAAGGAATTTAGAAAAATTTAGAAAATCAATACTCGCATTGAATAAGCGAAGCCAAACTATACGGGCACATTGACTATTAAATTTGAACAATTTCTTTTCAAAATGATTTTTCTCAGGTCCATTTGCGATTGCTATATTAATAATTTCTTCACGAATATGAGCAATTCGATGCTCCTGTAATTGATCCTGTAAGAATTCTTGCCACTTCTGTTCTCGGATATTAGACGGAATCAAATGATACATGCTTATTAACTTAGTTGATAATCCAGCCAACTAAAAATAAAATTGCTTTTTATATATAATGAATTCATTTTTTTTTTATTCATTTATTTCAATTTTATAAGAAAATATTGAATAATACTGAAATTAATAATATTAAATAGTTTAAATATTTTAATACATTAATTTTATAAGGGTAAATGTATAATATATTGTGCATATGTAATTGTATGTACATTATTTTGTAAATGTAACATGTTACAATTCTACACACAATATAAATATAATTAAATTATATTTATTTAGAAGTTAAATATTTTATTTATTTATTGTCTCGAAGTATTTTCTTTCTCTTCATACAATAGAATGTACAATAATATTGTTATATTGGATATTGATATTGAACGTACAATAATTTGCATTATAAATAATTAAACATTATTGAAGAAAAATTTTTTAATAATCAAGGAAATTATATCATCATTAGTGTTTTTTATAAATATCTGATAATAAAAAATGATACATATGCTATACATATGCTATACATATGTTATAATGTATAAACAAATTATAGATTAAAAAATTCATAAAGTATATGTAATATTATCCTCAAAATATAATTTAATTAAAAATAATTTTAATTTGATTTCGATTTTGATAAAAATATTTAATAATTTTATTTTATTTAATGATTTAATTTAATTTTTTTCTCATATTGATCATAAAAAATAATTTTAATTATATAGAATAATTTATATTACCTCATGAAGTAAATAAATTTGAAAGAATAATAATATATTTATAATTATTTTTTTTTCGATTTCTCTTTTATAATATTATTATTTAATATAGTTATAATTTCTTTCTTTTTTATAGATATTAATGAATATTACATAAAACGACAATTCATATTACATAAAATATTACATAAAACAAAAGAGCAAATCTTCTGTACTTCAACTATTCTATATCCAACTAACATTCTTTTCGTGAATGAACACAAATGACGATAAGATCTTTCGATATCGTGAAAATTCACGATAAAATAATACTGATTTCCTTGTATTGATCGTGCTTTTTTCTTAGTTATTAAATGTACTTATTCTTCTACCTCAATATCGCATATTTTATATAATTCAACTATGTGAGAAGATAGAAAAAGAAAAATAAGAAAGTACGGTAGAAGAAAAAGGTTAGAAAAAAATTATTGATTTCTAATTGATTAACAATGAAAAATATTTCTGTTTTAATTCACGACACTATTTATGATACCACCGGAAACAGGAAGACCAGTTTTTCCCATTAAGGCCAGATCTATTTCTCTTGCGGCTTGTCTACCTTCTGTGATTGCCCAAACTACCAAAGATTGTCCACGTCGGCAATCTAGGCAAAACAAAAATTCTTAATATATTAATCACTCAATGAAATAGATAAAACAAAAAAATCATCCTATCATTTTTAATATTTTTAATATTTTTCAAAAAGACTAATGCAATGTATTTTACATAAATATAAATATAATATAATTATATAAAATTATATAATATAATTATATAATAATATAGAAGATTAATCGTAGTTTATATTTTTTTTTATAAATTTGATTTGTTTATGAAAAAAACTTTAATAATAGATATAATCAATAAATTTTTTATTGTCTGAGAATTATTATATTTACAAAAATATTTCAAAAAAAATATTTTTTAATATTTTATTTCAATAATTTTTTTTAATATTTTATAAAATTAAATTTGATTTATTGTCATTTAAGATAATCATTTAAGATTGTCATAAGATTTATTTTATAAAGATATTATGTTATTTTGGAGTTATTCAATTTTTGGAATAATCAATATGAATATCAATATGAATAAAAGTTTATAATATTAATCTTTTATCTTGAAATTCTAAATATCATAAATATATGTTTTCACTCTATTAGACTTTTAACTCGAGAAAAATAAGATTAAATCTTAGTCTTAATAGTAAATAAAATAATAAGTTAAAAATAAAATAATTTCAATCTTGATTTTATAGAAAAATTATTATTATATGATACAATTGACAAAAATATTAAAAAAATTACTTTTTTTGGAATATTTTCGTAATATAACATAAATCGATATATTTTATCTATTTATTTTTTAAATCTAATATTATTTTTATATATTACAATAATTAA